ACACGCATTTCCTTTGGAGTTGCAATGTAATAAAGCGTACTTAATACTAACGGTTTGCATTATCTTACATTTATGCAAATAGAAAACAAGATTTAGTCCTCTCACATGAAGGACAATTACGGGAAAAATAAAACTATTCACAGAATCCGTAGAACCAAAAGTATATATGTTTGACATAAAAGGAAAGAAAGAAAAAAACACGTCGACACTTCCATGAAAAGAGCATTAGCTGCGATTAAGTCTAAAATAATAACATAATTCTTTCAAACATTGGTATTTTGCTATTAGCTGTCACTGTGATTCAGACAATCCTATAATTCGATAATCATATAGTCCAACAGTCGTATAAACCGATACTCATGTAGTCTGACGTTCCTTTAATCCCACAATGCTAAAGTCCGACAGTCCTTTAATTACGCGATCATATAGTCCGACAGTCCTTTAATTACGCGATCATATAGTCCGACAGTCCTTTAATCATGCGATCATATAGTCCGACAGTCATATAATCCGATAATCATATTATCTGACAGTCCTATAAACCGATAATAATATAGTCCGACAGTCCTATAATCCGATAATCTTAAAGTCTGAACGTCCTTTAAACCCGCAATTATATAGTCCGACAGTCCTATATTCCGACAATCATAGTCTGACAGTTCTAAAAAGCGATAATGATATAGTCTGACAGTCAAATAATCCCTTTATCATATAGTCCGACAGTCCTATAATCCGATAATAATATAGTCCGACAGTCCTATAATCCGATAATCATATTATCTGACAGTCCTATAAACAGATAATAATATAGTCCGACAGTCCTATAATCCGATAATCTTAAAGTCTGAACGTCCTTTAAACCCACAATTATATAGTCCGACAATCATAGTCTGACAGTTCTATAAAGCGATAATGATATAGTCTGACAGTCAAATAATCCCTTTATCATATAATCTGACAGTCCTATAATCCGATTATCATAAAGTCCGACAGTCCTATAATCCGATAATCAAAAAGTCCGACCCCCAAGGGTGACTGGGGAATAGAAGTATGGTCACCATTGGTCTTCCTCCGACCGGCAGTAAAACCCTTGCTAAAGTGGGGCGTCCGTTTGGCTGTGCGGGATGTACAAATTTGCAGCCACGTCCGGTCAGAATGGGGACGTTAAATCCGATGCCTCGTGTAAAGAGAGTGCCACGCTCTTTGCACGTTAAGAACCCTTGCAACAACTCTTTGATGGGTCCGTAGATGACCTGTTGCAAGGCTAAATTTCTGTCCCTATCCAATATACCCTCATTTCCCGTGGCAGTCTAAATTTCTCTGACCTTAATACCTTAATTTATTACAGAAGCTACCTATTGTATTTATTGTGAACTTGTTCTCGTCCTGAATATGCATGAAATATTTGCCACTGGACGTTAAGCAACCAACAATCAATCAATCAATCAAAAAGTCCGAACGCCCTTTAATCACACAATGGTACTGTCTGATAGTCCTTTAATCACGCGATCATATAGTCCGACAGTCCTTTAATCACGCGATCATATAGTCCGAGTCCTATAATCAGATAATCATATTATCTGACAGTCCTATAAACCGATAATAATATAGTCCGACAGTCTTATATTCCGATTATCATATAGTTCGACAGTTCTATAATCAGATAATCATATTATCTGACAGTCCTATAAACCGATAATAATATAGTCCGACAGTCTTATATTCCGATTATCATATAGTCCGACAGTCCTATAATCCGATAATCAAAAAGTCCGAACGCCCTTTAATCACATAATGGTACAGTCCGATTATCCTTTAATCACGCGATCATATAGTCCGACAGTCCTATAATCCGATAATCATATTATCTGACAGTCCTATAAACCGATAATAATATAGTCCGACAGTCTTATAATCCGATTATCATATAGTCCGACAGTCCTATAATTCGATAATCAAAAAGTCCGAACGCCCTTTAATCACACAATGGTACAGTCCGATAGTCCTTTAATCAAGCGATCATATAGTCCGACAGTCCTTTAATCACGCGATCATATAGTCCGACAGTCCTATAACCGATAATCATATTATCTGACAGTCCTATAAACCGATAATAATATAGTCCGACATTCCTATAATCCGATAATCTTAAAGTCTGAACGTCCTTCAAACCCACAATTATATAGTCCGACAGTCCTATATTTCGACAATCATAGTCTGACAGTTCTGAAAAGCGATAATGATATAGTCTGACAGTCAAATAATCCCTTTATCATATAGTCCGACAGTCCTATAATCCGATAATAATATAGTCCGACAGTCCTATAATCCGATAATCATATTATCTGACAGTCCTATAAACAGATAATAATATAGTCCGACAGTCCTATAATCCGATAATCTTCAAGTCTGAACGTCCTTTAAACCCGCAATTATATAGTCCGACAGTCCTATATTCCGACAATCATAGTCTGACAGTTCTATAAAGCGATAATGATATAGTCTGACAGTCAAATAATCCCTTTATCATATAGTCCGACAGTCCTATAATCCGATTATCATATAGTCCGACAGTCCTATAATCCGATAATCAAAAAGTCCGAACGCCCTTTAATCACACAATGGTACAGTCTGATAGTCCTTTAATCACGCGATCATATAGTCCGACAGTCCTTTAATCACGCGATCATATAGTCCGACAGTCCTATAATCAGATAATCATATTATCTCACAGTCCTATAAACCGATAATAATATAGTCCGACAGTCTTATATTCCGATTATCATATAGTCCGACAGTCCTATAATCGGATAATCATATTATCTGACAGTCCTATAAACCGATAATAATATAGTCCGACAGTCTTATATTCCGATTATCATATAGTCCGACAGTCCTATAATCCGATAATCAAAAAGTCCGAACGCCCTTTAATCACATAATGGTACAGTCCGATTATCCTTTAATCACGCGATCATATAGTCCGACAGTCCTATAATCCGATAATCATATTATCTGACAGTCCTATAAACCGATAATAATATAGTCCGACAGTCTTATAATCCGATTATCATATAGTCCGACAGTCCTATAATCCGATAACCAAAAAGTCCGAACGCCCTTTAATCACACAATGGTACAGTCCGATAGTCCTTTAATCAAGCGATCATATAGTCCGACAGTCCTTTAATCACGCGATCATATAGTCCGACAGTCCTATAACCGATAATCATATTATCTGACAGTCCTATAAACCGATAATAATATAGTCCGACAGTCTTATATTCCGATTATCATATAGTCCGACAGTTCTATATTCCGATAATCAAAAGTCCGAACGCCCTTTAATCACATAATGGTACAGTCCGATAGTCCTTTAATCACGCAATCATATAGTCCGACAGTCCTTTAATCACGCGATCATATAGTCCGATAGTCCTATAATCAGATAATCATATTATCTGACAGTCCTATAAACCGATAATAATATAGTCCGACAGTCTTATATTCCGATTATCATATAGTCCGACAGTCCTATAATTAGATAATCATATTATCTGACAGTCCTATAAACCGATAATAATATAGTCCGACAGTCTTATATTCCGATTATCATATAGTCCGACAGTCCTATAATCCGATAATCAAAAAGTCCGAACGCCCTTTAATCACATAATGGTACAGTCCGATTATCCTTTAATCACGCGATCATATAGTCCGACAGTCCTATAATCCGATAATCAAAAAGTTCGAACGCCCTTTAATCACATAATGGTACAGTCCGATTATCCTTTAATCACGCGATCATATAGTCCGACAGTCCTATAATCCGATAATCAAAAAGTCCGAACGCCCTTTAATCACATAATGGTACAGTCCGATTATCCTTTAATAACGCGATCATATAGTCCGACAGTCCTATAATCCGATAATCATATTATCTGACAGTCCTATAAACCGATAATAATATAGTCCGACAGTCTTATAATCCGATTATCATATAGTCTGACAGTCCTGTAATCCGATAATCAAAAAGTCCGAACGCCCTTTAATCACACAATGGTACAGTCCGATAGTCCTTTAATCAAGCGGTCATATAGTCCGACAGTCCTTTAATCACGCGATCATATAGTCCGACAGTCCTTTAACCGATAATAATATAGTCAGACAGTCTTATATTCCGATTATCATATAGTCCGACAGTCCTATAATCCGATAGTCAAAAAGTCCGAACGCCCTTTAATCACACAATGGTACAGTCCGATAGTCCTTTAATCTCCAAATCATATAGTCCGACGGTCCTATAATCGATAATAATATATAGTTTGACAGTCTTTTAATAGAAAAAACCATAGTCTGACAGTCCTATAATCCGACAATCATATAGTCCAACAGTCCTATAATCCGAAAATCATCTAGTCCGACAGTCCTTTAATCACACAATCATATAGTCCGACAGTACTATAATCATACAGTCCGACAGTCCGATAATTCCATAATCATATAGTCCGACAGTCCTGTAATCCGACAGCCCGTTAGTCCATGCAATGTGCGGTCTCTATGCGTCTAAGCTACTAGTATACATGTATATAGCTGATTATACGATATGGATTTGTCTCATAGTGTTGAAGGCCTTTAATTGAATGGATAATTGTATAATAAAATCAAATAGTCTAATGTTGTTTTTAATCATTCTTTCTGTCCGTTCGTCTGTTTACACATGTATGCATGTCTATCCATAAGTCTGTCAATAATTCTGTGTCGCTCCTTACATCAACATTGTTATTTTAGTAACCTTATATTTTGGGAAATTTGAGAAACATCGTTTTTGCTGCCATTTCAACAAAAAGTAGGCAAATAGGTAATATGCTTATACAAGAATTGTGCAAGTGGGGGTGCTTGCTGACATGTCAGTATTCCAGATACTTAAAATTTGAAAATTGCATTAAGTGCTGTAATAGTAATTGTTAGTGCATATTATTACTGTTCTTCCACAGGTAATGACAACACTAAGAATACTTGCTAAAGGAGACTACTTATCTGAGGTTGCAGATATACATGGCATATCAATTGCGTCTTCTTCTAGAATTGTACACACAGTATGTGACGCCATATGCAGCAGAATGCACAACATCAGATTCCCTACTGATCCAGCACAGCAGCGGGACATCAAGGAGAAATTCTATCAGATTTGTGGATTCCCAAACGTGCTTGGAACAATAGATGGCACGCTTATTCCCATACAAGGCATGGCAGGTGTTGATGAGCCCAACTTTGTTTGCAGGAAGCAATTCCATGCCATTAATGTGCAGGCTATTGCTGACGCAGATTTGAGGTATGGTCGACTGATACATACTAAACAGATGCATAAAGTCCATTTTTATACCACCGCAAAAAAATTTTTGTGGTCGTATATTGGTATGACGTTGGCGTCGTCGTCGTCGTCGTCCGGCGTCGTCCGAAGACACATTGGTTTTCGCACTCTAACTTTAGTTTAAGTGAAAGAATCTCTATGAAATTTTACCACAAGGTTCAATACCACAAAAGGAAGGTTGGGATTGATTTTGGGGGTTATGGTACCAACAGTAAAGGAATAAGGGGCCAAAAATAAGCATTTTTGTAACTTCCAGACATAACTTGTGTGTTAGTGTATGGATCTCTCTGACATTGTACCACAAGGTTCCATATCACAAAAAGAATGCTGGGATTGATTTTGGGGGTATTTGCCTCAAAATTTTAGGAATTAGGGGCAAAAAACAAGCATTTTTCTAGTTTCATGACAATAACTTGTGTGTAAGTGTATGGATCTTTCTGAAATTGTACTACAAGGTTCCATATCACAAAGGGAAAGCTGGAATTGAGTTTGGGGGTAATTGCCGAAACGTTTAGGGATTAGGGGCCAAAAAGGGGCCAAAAATAAGCATTTTTCTAGTTCCAGACAATAACTTGTGTTCAAGTGTATGGATCTCTCTGAAATTGTACTGCAAGGTACCATACCACAAAGGGAAGGCTGGGATTGATGATGGGGGTAATTGCCCCAATATTTTAGGAATTAGGGGCCAAAAAGGGGCAAAAAACAAGCATTTTTCTAGTTTCAGGACAATAACTTGTGTGTAAGTGTATGGATCTTTCTGAAATTGCACTACAAGGTTCCATATCACAAAGGGAAAGCTGGGTTTGAGTTTGGGGGTAATTGCCCTAAACGTTTAGGAATTTGGGGCCAAAAAGGGGCCCAAAAACACATTTTTCTAGTTTCCAGACAATAACTTGTGTTCAAGTGTGTGGATCTCTCTGAAATTGTACTGCAAGGTACCATACCACAAAGGGAAGGCTGGGATTGAGTTTGGGGATGATGAATCATAAGGGGTTTAAAAAATTTTGGGGGGGAATTTTTTTTTTTTCCTTTTTTTTTTCTTTTAAAATTTTCCATTTTAAGTTGGTTATTTCTGATTTATATTTAAAAGCAAATAATAATGATATGGTAGGAGATACACACCAAACAGGATGTGTAAATTATTATATAATAAGTATTGTGCAATAGCAAGAAATTTTCAATTGCACAGTATTGCACAATAGCAAGAAATCTTCAATTGCACAGTATTGCGCAATAGCAAGAAATCTTCAATCGCACAGTATTGCGCAATAGCAAGAAATATCCAATAGCACAATATTGCGCAATAGCAAGAAATTGTCAATTGTACAGTATTGCGCAATAGCAAGAAATATTTAATTGCACAGTATTGTTCAATAGAAGATTCTTCGTATAAATTGCTTATTTCTTGACCAATTTCAATGGGGTTTTATTCTTGAATTCTTGGGGTTCTTTAATATGCTGAATCTAACCGTGTATTTAGTTTTTGGATTTTGGGCCCCGTTTTTAAATTGGTCCACATTGAGGTCCAAAGGGTCCAAAATTAAATTTTGTTTGATTTCATCAAAAATTGAATTATTGGGGTTCTTTGATATGCCGAATCTAACCGTGTATTTAGATTTTTAATTTTTGGTTCCGTTTTCAAATTGGTCTACATTAAGGTCCAAAGGGTCAAAAATTAAACTTAGTTTGATTTTAACAAAAATTGAATTCTTAGGGTTCTTTGATATGCTGAATCTAAACATGTATTTAGATTTTTGATTATGGGCCCACTTTTAAAGTTGGTCCAAATCAGGGTCCAAAATTAAACTTTGTTTGATTTCAACAAAAATTGAATATATGAGGTTCTTTGATATGCTGAATCTAACCATGTATTTAGATTTTTTATTTGTGGACCCCGCTATCAAATTGGTTCATATTTAGGTCAAAAGGGTCCAAAATTAAACTTCGTTTGATTTCATCAAAAATTGAAATCTTGGGGTTCTTTGATATGCTGAATCTAACCATGTATTTAGATTTTTGATTTTTGGACCCCGTTATCAAATTTGTCCACATTGAGGTCAAAAGGGTCCAAAATTAAACTTTGTTTGATTTCATCAAAAATTGTATTCTTGGGGTTCTGCTGTAGAATATCATTCTGTGTATGAATATTGCCTTAATATTTATCAGCTGAAAAGCACCATAGTTATGGAAAAACAAATCAGGAAATTGTCAAAATTATAAGAAAATCTGCATTCACTAGTCCAATCATTTCAAATTGTAGTTACTGTAAATTCAGAAATTATTGCGTGCATCTATTATTGCGATTTTGTCATTTTTGACTAAAATGCGATTTTAATTTTTTGCGATATTGAGAAAAATCCTGTTTAATTCATATAAAAAATTTCAAAATGCAAGTTTAAATTATTGCGATTATAACCCTGTCGCATTTTTCGCAATAATAAAAATATCGCAATAATTTCTGAATTTACAATACTTCATTCTTGCAATATCATTATTATTGGCATAACTTATTATAGGTTCACAAACAAAGTAGTGAAATGGCCAGGAGCGACTCATGATGCGTTTATATTGAGCAATTCCAGTATGCCACAGATAATGGAAGACATGAATGGGTGGCTACTAGGGGATTCTGGCTATCCTTTGAAGAAATGGCTTATGACTCCTCTGTTGAACCCACAATCTGAAAAAGAAATTCGTTATAACAAGGCTCACTGTAAAACTAGAAACACTGTTGAAAGGGCCTTTGGTGTACTGAAGGCTCGTTTCAGGTAAACTAAGTCTTTTTATAAATATATATATAATTTGAATTAACTTAACAAAAGTGCACATGCTGACATAACTTGCCTGTTTTGCCCTTCACATTCATTCCAAACACCAAATATTGTTGACTCACTGCTTATATTATCTGATAAATGGAACTAATCACTCAACTTTAACCTTGATCACAGATCAATGAAATGAGATCAAGGTCAGGTGAACCCTGTCAAATGCACATGTTGACGTTGCAAGGAACCTAAATACCAAATATAGTTATCCTACTACTCATAATAAGTGAGAAATTCACATAACAAAAAGATCTCTAATTTTATTTCAAGGAGTCACTGAACCATGAAAATGAGGTTAAAGGACAATGAACATTTGTGTTGAAAGCGCTTTTGCTGATTTACCTTTATCAGGAAAGGTAACGGACTAAACCTTTAAAGCCAGGATGTATACACACAGAATGACATGAAAACATACTATTTCATCAAATGATATTAAAAATAGATACACGAACTTATATTTAAGGCTGCTCTGACAGAACGAGACAGTTTCAAGCTGTCATATATGGACAGTTCGGTGAGCATTTTATTGTTGAAGACCATTTGTTAATATCATAATATAACTGTATTCTTATTTATGTGCTTAATCATATTCTGCCTTGCCCTGCACAGTTTCTGAATCATACATATAAATATATATATTGATTTATTGAAAAAAAGAAATCACTATTTCATTGTATATTGCAGATGTCTTCATAAAACTGGAGGTAGCCTTCAATTTAATCCACCAAAATCCTGTAAGATGATTGGAGCTTGTTTCAGGTTAAACAACAAGGCATTAAACGAAGGAATAGCAGTACCAGATGGAGAAAACCAACTGCAAATACAGCACCATCAACATATACTACAACAAGACCAACCTAATGAAGGAAATAGAATTAGAGCACAACTCATTCAAAGATTTTAGCTGAAGTGAAAACTGATTGTTACATTTCATGAATTTTAATGATTGGTGATACACATAATGGTCCTTGGTCTGTCTTTATGCTATCTCTTATTTCCTCTAATGCCTTGGTGGATCTTTTCTTTAATACCAGCATTTCCTCCATTATTTTTATTTTCTTCATCCTATATAGTTCAACTCTCTGCAATTTCATTTCCTCCAACATGAAGTAATGGTCTTCAGCTTGTGAATTACTGTAACCTATTTTTCCAACAAAAATTATACAGGTACTACAATAATAAACAAAAGTCCCAATGAAAGACTAAATTTAGGAGATAACTGTATTGTATTTTAAAAACGTGTTGCCAATAAACTTAATTTGCGACTGCTTAAAATACAATATTGTTATCTCCATTCTAATGAAACTGACAGAAAACAACATCAAATCATATGTCGTCTACGCTTGCGCGAACATTTTTATAGCATCAATTGTGAATTGATGCCATGTAAATTGGTGACATTATCCAATAAAAAATGAACGTTACAAACGATGTTGCATTAGAATCATGAATATACAATACTGATTCATTAATAATTTTTAAATGTTGATTCTATATTCAAAACCACTTTCAAATACTGCATGCTATAATAACCTATAAATATCTTTTTATTATCTTGTACTATTGTGTTCTTGTAGAAAGGAAATCTTTAATAATCTTGTGTCAGTCTTTCGTGAAGGTAATGTTAATAAAATTAGAGTACCAGTTCAATTTTGGGACCTTTTTGGGGTCTACGTTTAAGCCAGGACAATGTATGTAATGAAAGGAGACTTTAAAATGAGGAAGGAAATTCTATGATTAAACAATACATGTTAAAAGCTGGAAATATATGAATTAAAATAATGATTTTTTAAATAACTTATTGTGTGTAAATAAATCACTTCTTTTAATAAGTATTATTATTTAAATGACCCCCACTAATTTCAACACTCCCAAACAGTTAAATTTTGATCCCGAACAGTAAAATTTTATTACATAATCTTTATGATGAAACCCTGAATATTGCACGAAATTTACTCCCACTATATATAAAAAAGAAGATGTGGTATGATTGCCAATGAGACAACTCTCCACAAGAGACCAAATGACACAGAAATTAACAACTATAGGTCACCGTACGGCCTTCAGCAATGAGCAAAGCCCATACCGCACAGTCAGCTATAAAAGGCCCCTAAATGACAATGTAAAACAATTCAAAGGAGAAAACTAACGGCCTTATTTATTTACAAAAAATGAACGAAAAAGAAATATGTAACACATAAACAAACGACAACCACTGAATTACAGGCTCCTGACTTGGGACAAGCACATACATACAGAATGTGGCTGGGTTAAACATGTTAGAGGGATCCCAACCTAACCTGGGACAGTGGTGTAACAGTACTACATAAGAACAAAAAAAATCAGTTGAAAGAGGCTTAACTCATCAGATATAGCATTTTTTCAACAAATATAGAAAATATAGCTAAATGATTGCATCAAAGGCATAAACTTTGCTATTTAAAAGAAGAAAAGGTTCATTTTTCCAATTTTACTACTAATAAGATATAATCTAAACCTATATGTTTGAAATTTTTGTAAAAATACAGAATCACAATTTGTGATAAAATTTCGAATCTGCTACTTAAATAATTGATTTTTCAATCACTTATTTCAGTAATTCCCCTGACCACTACCTAGATCTAGATGTTCAGTTTACAATACTTACCTCTCTTTTTGCTTGGTTTCTCTTTCGGCTCACTAAAGGCTTTGGAGGATTCCCCTGTTGGAAATTGTCATTTCTTATTAATTCAGTTCAGAAAGATACATTATTGGAGTAGGGGCATTAAGGCCCGGTTTTGGTCCAAGAAAATAAAAAGTTTGACAACTATACCAAATTGGCACATGATATTAGAAAATGCATAGAGTCAAAAATGATATAAATGAAAAACATAAGATTTTTTTATCTGATGACGTCACAATTACGTCATAATATGTACCGTTTTCATGAAAATGATGAAAAATACAGAATTTAAGCAGTTTTCCATCGTTATTTCTATTGTGGAGACATCGTGCGCAGACAGGAAACAACAAAATAATTTAAGAGAAGCTTTTTTATAACTATTGACATAATCTCACCAAATATAAAGTTGTTTCTTGGATGCGCACATACTTTGCCAATCTAAAATATATTTAAAAATTGAAAAACATGGAAAATCAAGAAATTTTACAAAATATAAGAATTTCGTCATGGTTTGTTACCATGTTTACTCGATCAATGTCAAATTTGTTTTTATTTTCTGAATACCTCGTACCTTAGTCTAGTTAGGACAAATTTAAGAATATGTAGGATAACTTTTAAATTTGCAGTAATATTTGGGCAAAATAAGGGCCTTATTGACCCTACTCCTTTATCTTTTTTTATGTTTATTCCATTCTGTGTTTATAATACAAATTACTATACAAGAATTGTGACTTAAATATTTAAATCATTTATGATACATGTCGATATTGACAATATTGTTTTGTGTAGTCTTGATTCATTTGACAGAAATGTAACAACCACCAATCTTTTGTTACCTCTTATGAAAAGTATGAATTTGTTCCACTTGTATTGTAATGTTACAAAGTGTGCTGAGGAAATAATTTTGAGTCACTGGGTATTAATTAATTTTTTGTAACTATAATTGTGAAAATTATGAATGGAGTATACATTATACAGCATTTGCCACAACATGCATAGGTGTAGATTTTAGGGAAACGTATTGTTAATGTCATAGATAATATTTATATACCCTAGGAAATACTAAAACTTAAAATTTTCCAAGAAGATAATTAAATTCATGGTGTGGACAGTGTATAACTTGCAAAAAACTGTGTGGGCAAGGCTGAATGTATAATTTGCATATAATATATAATTTACATACTATACAAATACAGCAGAATTTTTCTTGTACAATAGATGGCTAATTACAGGATTAATTAAAATACCTTCTGCACAGTCTGTTGTTTCTGCATTATCTTCAGCCATTGTTATTTCTGATAGTCCTTCACTTTCTATGTTCAAACTGATAACTGAAAAAGTTGAATGGAGTAAGACATGTTACAATTTGGTACACTATAAACAGTTTTTACATTGGCCTATTTCTTATTAAGTACATTTAGTACAATAACTGAAATCCATATACATGATATACTGCTATGATTTATAATTTAGCAAAGGATAGACAAATCCACATTGATTTCAATTGGGAATGAAACACAAAAATATACAATATATATGTACATTATCGGAAAATATGAAATTTATTTGTAATGGCTATAGAAACAAGACAAAAAGCAAGGCTTGCTTGTCAATGTACATATATTGTTGTTATCCTGCAATTTACATCTGATATGAGAGCATTAGGGTAGGTAGGGGTATAGTAACACACACATAATTTTTTGTTTGACCTTATTTGTACAAATAAAGCAAACAACTATTTGTATATCGGTTATTTGTTCAATAGTTAGCTGATTGTAGGATCAAAAGTGTAAAAACAGTTAATATATCTTATCTGCAAAATAGTTATGATAATTTATTATTTTTTTTAAACTTTAATATGAAACATTTATAAAATTTTACCAGCAGTTAGTCATGACCTAATTTTTCGATCTGAATGTGACTGGTTCATGTATATGTAATCATGTATCATCTTATATGGGCATGCTGTGTATTTATTCATACATTATGCAAAAAATGGAATTATAATAAATACCACTTTCACTTAAAGGCTCACAGGGACTAACAGAGCTGGTGTCCTCCCCTCCTGCAATTCCTTCTAACTGTGTATTAGTAAATGTTGAAATGATCTAAAATAAGCAAATTTAATTTGTATATATATTATGTATATTTTTTTAATGCATTGAATGACATGATGAAGAGAATGACAATTGGCTTTCCTGAACATGGCAGGAAAATTCCTGCATAATGTAATTGCATATGATAAATTCAAACAAAAGGGAACACATATGTGTACATAAAAATGT